AAAAATGCTTTTGTATTTACAAAACAATTTTTAAAATTTTAATTTTTATGACATTTCGGTTTTCATTTGTTTATGAACACATGAAATATTTAAATTTTTAAAAAAAGAAAACATAAAGAAAATCATAATTAATAGAAGTAAATTAAAAATAATTAATAGAAGAAGCAAAATGGAACTGAGCATAATTAATAAGGCGTACAAAAAAAAAAAAGAAAATAAAAATAATATAAGACAGTGCTGTACAAACATACACACAAACACGAGATATAAAAGTTCAGTAAACTGAGGGGAGAAAATCTATTTAATTAAAATTCATAAAAATATTAAAAATTATGAAAAATTTAAATTTAAAAATTAAAAAATTGCTTTAGAAAATTCATAAATTTTAGTTAAATTGCAATAGTTGCCTGTTGACAGGCGATATTGTAAAATTTTCCAGGATGTTAAAATTTGAGCCTCAGGTAATCGAATTTCATTACATCACTATCCTCCTACACCAAATTACTAAAATAATTAGAAATAAGTTTATGCTGCATTCGATATGCACTGAAATGAATGAAAACACTGCGCCTTCATTGCCCAAACGTGAAACTAAAAAATATTATGTCAGTTATTGTGAATGAGATTGGGAAAAAATTATGAATTAGATTAAGGTAAATTCCAAGCAAGCCATATCAATAATTATTTCAGTATTTTTACTCAGAACTCTCTCAATTTTTGACGTTTCAATTATTTTTAGCTTTAAGAGGCAACCATTTTTCAAAATAAAAATAATTAATTTTTTTTCATCTTCACATTGCGTTTCGAAATGATTCTTTTGACAATATTTTAAACAGCTTTTTACTCTTTTATTTAAGTCAATTTCAATTTAAAAATATAACGTACATGCATACATATACGCGTATATAAATAAATACCAAGTGCCTAATCACCTCAATCAACTGCTACAAATCTTAAGAAAATCTCGAGATAATCACAGTGCTTTAAATTGCAACATTCCAGTTTTATGTGTTTTTGTTTTTTTATTAAATTTTTTTAATAGTTTTTTCGTCGTCGCTAAAAACATTCTTAAATCCTCATGTCAAATACGGGGTTTTTTTTTCATGTTCTGGTAATTTTTTTTCCACCTTTTTGTTTTTTTTTTTTAATTTGACTGGTCTGGCTAACTTATAATTATGACGTTTCGTTTTCGTAGCATTTTTTTTTGGTGTGTCTGTAAATTTTTTTCGTGTTCTTTTCTGTCATCTTTAATTATAAGACTGTTAATGTTTTTGTCGTCAACAACAGTAACAAAATCCAATGAATTAGAGACAGAGAGAGAAAAAAAACCGAACAAATAATAACGTCAAACATTGGCGAAAAAAAACCAATATGTCTGCCATGACATTTGAAGTGGTTTATAAAAATAAATGAAAAAAAAAATGAAATGTGTGCAATTTTTTTTCCCTTACAATTTTACGACTGTCGAAAATATTATTTCCCTGAAATAAAATAATTAATAGGGATTTTCAAGATTAATTTCGTGTTATAAAAATTATTTTTTTTAACACCGAAAACTTGTAAAGGGTGGTTTGTATTTAAAGAAGAATATTGGTAATTCAAAATTTTTTGGAAATCATTCCGAAAATTTCATAAATTAATCAAGAAAGACTGAAGTTTGTGAAAGTTAAAAATATAACTAGGTATTGATTTCTAGATTTATAGTTCATCTTGCAATTTTAATTCTCTAGATCAATACTCATGTCATAAATACTCAATAAAAATTGAATAATTTAATTTCTAGAACAAAGGGATCTACCAACCATAAGTCAAATATGGAATACCTAATTGTTAAAGAAAAGAGAATCTTGCAGTATCTTACAAATTTTACGCAAAATTAGGCTGATCTTTTCTCAAACTAATTCTAATTTAATATTTCTTATAAATAACAATAATATTTTGTTAATATTATGCGAACACCGCCTAAAAGTATGCAAACTAGTCATATATTCGTTATTTACTTTAAGAATTTTTAATAATCTTACAACTTTGATTAGAAAATGTTAGCGCTCTCTTGAAATGTCTTAAATGTCTCTTATTTAAATTTCAAAAAAAAAACAAAAAAAAAAATGTACCTTGATTTTTCACAAAAAAAAAATACAGTTTTTTAGGGTGTTCCAATTAAAATAATTATCATTTATTACGAATAACGTAAAATATATCTATAATAACAGGCTTAACAAATTCAAACAGGCTTATTGACAAAAAACAAGCAAAAAAAACAAATTTGAATTTTGAAATTCTTCTAAGGGTCTGAAACTCTAAAAGTTGTTGATTGTTGAAGTGGTATTTTACTCTTGCTTATTATTTTTTTCCTCTATACTTCTTAATTTTAAAATGAAAACCAGATTAGAAGGAAGACATGTTTTTTTTTGTATAATTATTACTCACTTAATTTTTAAAATAAAACCATATTTGATTCTATACTAAAAAAATCATAGTAATAGCTCATTAATTTCGTGTCCTCTTGACAAACAATTCAAACAAAACAAAAAATATACAATATGGAGGGGGTATGACTCTAATGTATGCTTATAAGGTTGCGCTATCAAAGCGTCTAATATTTATTATCGAAATTTTCATTTGATTTGTCATAAAACTCGTTAAACGAAAACAAAAAAAAATTAATACTATTTTGATTTTAAAATAGTAGTTAGAAAGAGATAGAGAATATAGAAATTATTTAGATTTTATAATGAAATTGACACGCAAACAATTTTTTTATGTTCGTCATAGTTCAGGTATCCGTTCCAAAAAAAAAAATACAATACAAAGGCAAATTTATAAAAAAAAAAACCCTTTTTTGTATTTTGAAAATTTCATCCTTTATTGTATTGTTTGAATGAAAAGGATTTTGAATAAGCATATTGTACAGTTATTATTCACATTGATATACACACATAATATATATATCGACATATGTATATATCGACGGTACCTGTGTCTAATTTACAGATGTACAAACTTTATTTTAGATTATTACTCTTATGAATGCCATACAAATAAAAAAGCAATTATAGCTTTGATTTACGAATCTAATTTCTGTGAGTACGCATTTTTAATATAGGAAATTTCAATTTTATAACGGTGAATAAAATCCTTTCTTTTATTTAATTTTTTTTTTCTTTATAAATATCCTTTATTATTATTGTTATTATGATTATTGAATAACAATTATTAGCAACGAAATTTTATATGATAGTACAAATCTTTTCATTCTGGTACGTATATACCAAATATTTTTTCGTATAAAGAATAGGAATATTGTGAATTTATGATTTATTGTGAATTTTAAGTATTATAAAAAATTATTTAAGTATTTAAAATTTAGAACGCATACATATAAACTATTATATTCGAAAAGTACTCATGAGAAGAAAAAAATATTTTAATATTCTGCAAATCTAGATAAGAGAAAATTGTAAAGTTCAACATCCCTATTTGCCTGATTAAAATTTGCCTTTTCAAATTTTTTTCGAATAAAATTTTAATGACTCTGTTTAAACCTATTTAATGAACTCTGATTATATTAAACCTAAATAAAGGGCCTCATTAGAAATAAGAATAACTAGTCGTGTTTATTTTACTAATTTACTTTTATAACTTTTTACTAATCAACTCTTATAATGTCATATAAATAGCCGCGAATTACAAAAACAAAAATTTTTTCTTGCTTTCAAGCGTACCCCGACAAAAAAATTAGTCAGTTCGTAATCATCGTATAATTAAATGTAAAATGAATTGTAGTTCTATGATTGTATAACAATTCTCATCTCATAAATACTCAATAAAATATTATTATTGTTCTAGTTGTAACATATATGCAGTATTAATGAATTCACTACTGTTCAATTGAGTAAGGCGACAAGATTTTATTGTGTTGTGATAATGTGACCATGCGAGTAACTGCTTGACTCTCTGTAACATTTCAACAATGTTGTTTGAATACAATTTTTTACAAATTCTCCAAAATAAATTCGAAGAGAGAAGTTTTTCTAATGTTGTTTATTATAATAAACATTCTCTTCAAGGAAGATTAAGCTACAATACAAGTTGCATTTAGTTTACTATAGCATGTAGTTTACAATCAACATGTATACGAAATTATAGTAGTAGCAAAGTACTTTAGTAATTTAGGATTAAAATTTACAGAAAACAAAAAATCATCAAGTTTTTCTCTTCTATTTCTCTTCTTCTGTTTTTCTGTTAAAACACGAGGGATTAATTAGTTTTTAACATTAAAATTTTTTATTTTAGAATATTCTACAAATGTTTATATAAATGTTAGAGAAGTATACATGTTATATAAGTCTTTCTTATTTATACCATTTAAATTCGTCAAATTACTTTAAAATACATTAATTTTTTACTCACAACAGTAAGTATATCTGAAAGGAGTAGCAAAGCTGATCTTACCTATACCATGGAGGCCATAAAATGTATATATATATATATAAAAACTTTTTGACCGTCATCTTATATTCTTCTCTATTGCATATACACGAAATACATTCATACTTATATAAAGTAAATATTTAAAGACAACAGGGATCAAAATAACAACAAAAAAAAAATTGTAGAGAAAAAATTTACATGAAAATTATTTAAAAAACAATTCTTTTTCTCGGTAATTTACAAAAGTTATTTACAATTATTATTATAAGGAGATGAGAAGTTAATTAAAAGAATTATAGAAAAAAAGGCATAAGAAAAACAACAACTAAAAGGTGAATTTTTTTCTTTTCTTTTTAAAAATTCATACATTTTTCTCCCTTGAACTTTTCTTTTATTTTCAGTGAGGGAAAATAGAATTAAATTGTGACTCGAAGACAAAGTTTTTAAAAAAAAAAATTGTTTCAATAAAAGGATAAAGACAATTAAAATTATTTAAAATTATGCACGACTAAAATTTAATGAAAAAAAAATTTTTTTTTCATGTTTTATTAAAAATTGCACAGTACCTGTGGTGAAAAATTTAAAATTTTCAGTAATGGATAAGTAGTAGTAGAAATTCCCAAAGGATTGATTAAAGATGAAAAACTCTGAAATTAATAAAAGAATAATTTAAAATTAGTTAAAAATTTTATTAAAAATATTAAAATTATTTTATGAATTAGTTTGTGTAGTAAAAATGTATAAAAATTACAATAAATTAAAAAATACATTGCCTATCTTTGTCAAATATTCACTCAAAAGTTTTGTCCTGCTTTCATAAACGACCACACTACATAAGACATTTGATATTCTCAGAAAAGAAAATTGCTCAGTTTTAACATTTAAGAAAAGAAGATTTAATTATACACTGAATTAATATTACACTGAAAATTCTACTAATGTAATTAATATTACACTGAAATAGTCAGAAAATTTCGAGGCTTCTAAATAATCAGTCGTTCCTAAATGACATGAATGACTTTGTCATAAAAAATAACATTTTTAAATTAAAAAAAAAAATTTAAAATAGATGTCGGCACTACATTTCTAAGACTTCTTTATTACAGAATAATTTTCGAACGCATTTTATCGCAGCGAGTAATTTCCGAACGATGAATCCGAACGATTTCAAGGTGTGCTCTAAATTTATGAAACATGCTCTAAGTATGAATTATTTTTAAACAAAATTAACAAAAATCTTTTAACTTATGGAACAAAAAATTCGGAATATAAATACATATTAGACGGTAGTATACCGCATGTGCCGCAAATATGAGTAAAATTTGAAAAAGTGAGTAAGTTTTGAACAATAAATTAAAATCTGTTGAAGTTTCGATTTGTTTATTGAATGAATATAGTTTTTGCATCATAAAGTTAAAACATCAAATATTACATATTTTGTCCTAGATAGAATGAAAATATTTTGAACGAATAAGGGATTTGAAAGCATCCAGCAATAAAGAATTAATTGAAAGATTTGCAATATAAAGATGGAAACTTATTAAAAAATAAATTTTTACATTTTTACCATTTTTTTATACATGGTCTTTAAATTACTTTTCTTCTTTTATATTCAGATGGTTTGCAATCAGTTGTACCATCACTAAAATTATTTTCAATTTCCAAATTATTTCGTTTGCTTTCATCATTATAGGATTTCATATCATTTTCTATTTGTGAAGCTTCAATTTTTAATTGCTTTTCTTTTTCTTGAATTTTATGAAATTTTTTATTAAATTCTTTGTATTTTTTTATAATTTCATTATTTTGACGGTCGATATCAGAAGATGACGATAGATCAATTTGATTATAATTGTTATATGAAATTGAATTTGAAAATTCATCTTGAATTTTTATTGTATTTGAATTTAAATTCGAATTTTTATCCATGTTTTGTATTACTTTAATTTCTATGTAAAATATCCTTATATTTTTAAAAAAAAGTAAATAATTAAGCTTTTACTTTTAAAGTTTAAAGAAAATTATGTTTGATTTTCCTTTATTTCAAATTTTTGAATAGAAAAAAAAATTTATTAAAAGTGAATTAGTTTTCTAAGTTTACTAAGCTGAAATAAATTTTTTCAATTACTTAATTTAAATTGTTCAAATATTTTAATAATAATTATTTAAATTTCATGTCATCTTTATTTATAGCGTTTTATAAATTGTAAAGCACTGGTCACCTACAACAGACCATAAAATAGGAGTTGTAGAGAAGAGTTTACGTACAACAATTAAGCAAATGTTATAACAAACTTGAGAAACAGATAGAAAAAGAATATGGCTGTGATAGGTTAAAAAACGAATTTGAATTATTACAGGTTTAGACAAGTGTACAAGCTATATAGTGAAAAAATCAATGAACTAAGCAAGTATTTTGTCGATATGAGTAAGAAATTAGCTGAAAATTAAACTGATAATCTATATTACACGCAGCTGAAAATAAACGTATCGTATATGAATTTCAACTAATTTCATAACAATAGGTTTTCAATGCCATCAACACTCTTAGGAAGTCTAACTCAATAAATTCGCTAAATATGTCTACGAACATTTTAAAGACATGTAATAGAGAATTAAGGTGTGTAGTGTAATTTGCAATATCGTGAATAAATATTTTGTCGAAGGTGTCGTTCAAAATGAACTTAAAGTTTCCAGAGTAATTCCTATTTTTAAATCGGGTAAAAAAATGATTTGAATAATTTTACAGATTTATTTGTCTTGCTTCCAGTTCAACAGTCAGGCGTCTTCGTTCATTATGAGTTCTTTTACCATGTTTTCTCTATTGCTTCTCTGTTGAGGACTCTTATATACGAAATTAAGTTATTTAAATAAATAATTATTAAAATTTTTCTAAATCTAATCTGGAATTTTAATTGAGAATATTTTCAATGGAACTAATTAAATATACCATAGTGAAACCAATTCAAAATATTTATTAAACCATTCTTTAATTATTTCAAATAAAAATTATTATTATTAATATTTTAAATTCGAAAATTTTGAAATTAATTCCCGTTCGCAATTGCAAATTTATTATTTTTAAAAAAATTTTATGTTTTTTTCGCAAAACATTTTAAAATTTTATATTTATGTTTGTATCACAAAAAAAAAAAAATTAAAAATTTAATTGTTTTACAATAAATAAAATGCAACATTATTTTTGCACATTTTCATCCCATAATTTTCCATAAAAATAATTTTTCAAATAATTTTAAATTTTAATTTCGAAAAAACAAAAAAATCACTTTAAAATGAAAATAAATTTTTTTTTTTGCCCGGCATTAATCCAACACTATAACAAATTAGAATATTAAAATTATTAGAAAAAAAAAATAAAAATCTAAAAATAATTTTTGAAAAACAAAAGAAAAAAAAATTATTTTTATTGTTGCATTTTTTTCTTAAAAAACAAAGGAGAAAAAAAATTTTTTTTTTTGCAACTTCAATCCGTGAATTTTAAATTTGTTTTTTTTTTTCTATTTTTGACATTTATGAATATTTTTTTCTTTCTATTATTTTTGAACTGTTTAAACTGGCCCCCATGCGTCACATTATATAAACATTATGTGTATACGTAGAAGCAGAGCGCATTGGAATCAATTTTTGTATCGAATTGAAATGAAATCGAATTAAGTGAAAATTTTTCAATTTTCAATTGAAATTCGATTCCAATTTTTTTGTTGCCTGCTAAATTAAATGCATATTGTTCTTTTGTGTTTTTTTTTATAATTTAATTGCCTTTCTAGAATTTGAGGAAAAAAAGAATTGTGTGGAACGGATCGATTTGGTTTTCAGAGCAAAATGTATAAAATTTTATTTTCGTTTTTTTTTTTTTTTTTGGAAAAATAAACACAAAATTCTAGATTTACACGCAGTTTTTTTTTAAGTAAAGTGAAAATTGGTAAGGAAAAATATAAATAAATGCCACTGAGGCTAAGGTAGAAATATTAGATTTAATTATGTGCCAATTGACTTATTAACACTGATCGTAAAAAGAAGGAAATTTTTGATTTTCTTGTAATTAGGCTTATGTACACAAGAATAACAAAACTTTTTTCAAAAATCAAGTTGGCAACTTCATAGCAATTATAGAATAGTTCTTGCTTTTGTACGAATTATTGACATAAAATTTGACATTTAAAATTATGTATTTACAATATTGCATGTAAAATCTTGCATATAATTCAAAAACATAAGGATGCCTAAGTATATCTAACCTAATAGTGCCATCAGAAACCGAACGATAAGAATTTCATTTTCATTTTATTCAGAAACATTTTTGTGGATTGATTTTTGTTTGTTTTGCAACTTTTTGACTCCTCTCGTTATTTTATTAAAAAAAAAAATTTTAACGACGTACACATTTATACATACACACAGGCATATGCTAAGGCTATTTTAAAATTTATAAACCAAAAAAAAAAAAAATTGCATATAAATCTGAGAGGAAGGCGTCTTATTTCAACCTCATCATAAATAATTGTTTTTAGCTTTTTCTTTTTCTTTTTTCATTAAAACTATTTTCACCACAATTATTTACTTGGACAAAATTTCCAATATTCTTCGATAATTTTCTGGTTTTTAGTTCTCTATTTCAATTTCATTGACTTTTTTCTTTTATTTATTTGGTTTTTATAGATATTGTCCTCGGCGTATATGCACAAATGTTAATTAAGAAGGAGTAGAATTTTTGTTTATTTCATGTACAACAATAATTGACTGACGATATAAGCGCTCTTTAACTTATCATTTGAATTAAATTTTAATAGAATTGAGTGAAATAATAGAACGAGATGAAATTTAAAATTTGAAGTAAAAATTGAAATAAAAGGAGTCACTAGATAAATTAATTAATTCTCGCATTTGATGGGAGAACAAGAGAGTTTGCAATAAAATGAATACGATTACAAGCCATTTTGATATTTACGATATTTACAAAAGTGTAATTTGTGGGAATTATAGGCCTGACTGGCGCTTTATAGGTGGCGGGATATTACAATAAGTCTTTGAGGCTGCAGTGACATGGTCTGAGGTTGACCCCTGCAAATCTGCAATCTAATCTAATCTACAAAGAAAGCTTTTAAGAATCAGAGTAATTACACCAAACAAAAAAAATGAATGTTAGTGAATTATTGGGAATATTGAAAATTTCAAATGAACTGAAATTCCGAATTAAAAATTGAGAATATTTTTAGTGTACTAATGAAAATTTTGAAAAAGGCTGCCGCCTGTTTTTCATTTATTCCAATTCTTTTTGAGTTTTTTGTTAAGTAAAACTTAAACTTTGACTTCATTATGATTGTCCAAAATTTAACGCTAAACTATAATATCGTTTTCCGATATCATACGAGATTACACTAAATATTAAAATCCCCTACTCAAATATACGCTTATGCAACATTGTGGCAATTTTAATAGTGTACAGTACGGTGATACAAATAAAAGAAAATTTATTTACAATTTACTTACATACATTTTTTCTGATTTCTCATTTTTTCCTATTTTTATTGATAATAATAATAATAATTGTATTTATAGAAAAGTGAATTTTTCCATTTAAACATTATTTTTTCTTTTTGTTTTCAAATTTTGGGACACAATATAATGCAGCTTTACTTTTAATAAAAAAATATGTATACATATTTGAAAAACTCAGAGGATTATTGGAAAAAATAATGGAAAATGCATTTACAACAATGCAAACACACACACATTTATGCACATACATGACTATGAGTCGATAATAATTGGAAAATTTATTTTTATTTTCAGTTTATTTTTAATTCCAATTTTTTTTATTTTTATTTCATATTATGATTACCAGATGGCTCTAGACAATAATAACAAAAGAATAGGAAGAAAAAAATATTTTAATGAAAATAAATAAAAACATGAAGACTGCGAGAATAGAACGGTGAAAATATTATTATTTTGATTATTTTTATAATATAGCAACAAGAAATTTTTGTTGGCTACCTCATAAGTACCATAAATAGATCTCTTCTCAATCATTTTATCGTTTTTATGCACATTCAAATATTTTTCATATTATACTCACTTAACAAATATGTTCCACGTACTGTTTTAAGTATTTCCATGTAACATGCATGACCTCTTCTGGAAGTACGTGTAATTTGTTGCATTTTATTGTATAACGATGGCTATTTTGTTATTTTCAATTATGTTTAGCTTCTCTCTTGTTATTTTATAACATTAAATTTGAAATATATTTTTGCTTATTTTTTTTTTATTATTATTTTAGATTTTTGTCGCTAGTTTAAATTTCTTAGAAATATATTTTTATTTCATTTTGTATAACAATAAGAATATGGAAATTTATCGTACAGTTTTTATTAATTTTATTTTTGTATCTTGCTAATCTTTGAATATTTTTTTTAATAAAAAGGGAGAGAGGAAGAGAGATAGGAAGAGTGCGGTCTCGGATCAAATTAAAAAAAAAGTTTTAAAGTGTTTTTAAGTGCCTATATATAAAATAAGGGGAAGTAATAAATAAATTAAAATCTTTTTCTAATAAAATACAGTCAACTCAAAACATTAACAACATGTTTGATTTCTATTCTGCTGAAAAAAATTTGATTTAAATATTCAAAATGATGGCTTAAATCTAGGGATTACAAAATATTCAATTGATTTTAAAT